GTTTTGCAAATTAAAATCTTGTTCAAGAAGATCAACAAGCCCATTTAACTTAAGTTTATCACATTTTTTACTAGACTTCTAGCAACAAAATTAAAGCAACAAACATATTTTTATAGTGTAAAACATTTTGTCACGAGTGTTTAGCAAACAACCAGGCAACAAAATTCTGTCTAGTGAATGAATCCCCCTTTTTTTCCTTGAAGTACTGATCAGATTATAAAGCATTAAAGTTTTAACCCAGACCCAATTCTTTAAAAGGTTTGTGAAAAATAGAGATGACATTCACACTCCACTATTGACAATTGCACCATATTTGTTGTCTTAAGCCCAATGACGAAACTATCCCAAAAGTTTATTTGGTGAGGAGTGCATTTTTATCAAATATTGGACTGAGAAAATAACGGAATTTTTAATTTACGGAAAACCGCAACTATGAATCAATAAAGAGTTTTTTATACGAGTCTTTGGATTTCATTACGACCTCCACAGAAGGTATATCCCATGATTTTCATTTCTAATCATTGGTTTCCCCCAAAGTCATACGAGAAATGAATCAAGACCTGCTCCAACTAGAAACTGAAGAGGAAATCAAGCTTGCTGTTTTCTCAATGGGGTCGCACCAACCTTTCAAAAAGCACACCCTTGGGCAATTTGTCGAGACGCAAACAACTATTATGTCTCTACGAATCTACTACATTGATTAAACAGTTAAAAAAAAGTTGTTTTCAATTTGGAAATTATTCTACAAACACCTTACCTGAAATAGATGAATATATTGTTGCAGCAATTGAAGCAAAAGATTTAAGCACATCACCAATGCAAGATACAAGTCGAATGATTCCACATAAGCAAACAAAACCAATGTATGCTCGTAAGTCCATTGAAAGTGCCTTTCAGTTAAAACTTAGTACATCTGTTCCAGATAAAGCCTAAAGGGAGGCTTGTTAAATTAGATGAAAGGGATGGGGGAAATCAAAGCTCAAATTCAAAAGGAGGTGCGAAAAACTTAGAAGGTATTAGTAAAGAAAATTTTACTTTTATTTTTATTTATTTTTTTTATAAAAAAAAAACATACACCAACAGGCTACATCTAATTGCTGGTTCATGGAAACAATAACCAAAATGCAATAAATTTAATTACATGACAGGAGTTGAGAATGGATTTTTCAAAATGGAAGTTTAAATCAATGTGAATGAGAAATAAACCCCATAAGCCAATAAAAGGCAAGGATACAACAGTTGTTAAAAACAATGGATAAAAATTTTCATCATGTAATATTAATCCATGATTAACAACAAAGTTTGGCAAGTGCAGGTAAAATTATACCTTGTTCACTATGACAGAGACTCCTGCTAATATTTACTTTTATATTTTATATATGCAATGATCTATGTATGTATGACTAAAAACAAAAACGAAAAAAAAAAATGGAGCCAACTGGTAATAAATTAAAATTTTGAAAAATAGAAGCCTTCTAGTTGAATTTAATTATGCAATAATTTAATCTCAACTTCATTGGCTCAAAGTCATTACAACTGAAGGAAATTGGAGAAGGATAAAGATTAAAAGCAAGGCAAATATATCTGAAGGTGTGCATTGTAGAAAAGAAGCATCGAATATAGCAAGGAGCAATATGCCACAAAGTCATACTTTAATTTATCCCAAAGCCCAAGTTTCTTATAGGAAAAGGGAAAAAAACCCTCCTATAAGGATGCTAACAAAATAAAGTCCTCTAGATAGGACAAAATGGGCACAAGCAAAATTTCATTAATAACAAGGAAAATGAAATCAAGAAGAGCTTTGGGCCAGATGGCATTTCTAGATTTGGAAGTGCTTAGAGTGAGGATGGTTTGTCTTGACTAGCAAATTTTTAACAAATAAGAGAATGTCTTATGAGCGGCACAAAAATATTTTGATACCTATAAAAGGGACATAAGAAGGTGCAATAATTATTGTGCTATTAATTTAACAAGCTATACTATGAAACTTTGGGTAGGCATAGCATCAAGAATCATCATTAAGTACTTATCTTTTTGCCTTGATTATGAATGAACTGATAAGCACATTCAAAATGATATTTCGTGGTATATGTTATTTGCTGAAAATATTGTTTCAATTGATGAGACTATAGGAGGAGTTAGTGCCAAATAGGAGGTTTGTAGGGAATCTACAAAATTAAAAGGGTTTAAGATAAGTAAAAATAAAACATAATATATGTGGTGTAACTTTAATGAATCTAAGAATACAAATATGGATGGAGTGAAGATTGACGATCAAGAGGTACGAAAAAAGTGTACATTTTCCTTATTTAGGCTCAATTATCCATAATGAAGGTGAAATTGGAGATGATGTTAACCAAAGAATCAAGGCATAATGGATTAAATGGGGGAGTGCATCTAGTATATTGAGTGATCAATTATCCTGTTAAGACTAAAAGGAAAGTTCTATAAAATAGCTATTAGACCAGTTGTACCCTATGAAACAGAATGCTGGGCAGGTATGAAACAACATATGCATAAAGTGAGTACCGAAATTTCGTATGTTACGACGGATGTGTAGCACGATAAGAAAGGATAAAATTAGAAATAACGCACTCGTGAGATGGTTGAAGTAGAAATGAGAGAAAATTGATTAAGATATTTCGGACATGTGCAAAGAAGACCATGAAGTGCACCAGTTTGGTAGAGTGACATGGTCCAAATTGAGGGTGTAGGTATCAGATATGTCTTATCTTAGGTGGCACTTGTCACATCAAGTAAGCCCACATGGAAAAAAGTCAAGTGGCCAATCACTATGTGGTATGGTACTTGGCACATCATCAATAAACCTCAAGTAGAATCCAGAAGATTTGAAGACCTGAGTTGGGAGCAACAATCAAGAATATTTGGGATCCGAGGAGGTACTTGGTTTGGTAGCTGAAGTCCAGGGCTCTTCAAGTAGGCAGACCACTCTCTCGTAGTGGTTCAGCTAACCCTCGACCTAACTTATAGGGAAAGAAAGACCATTTGACTCTCATACCTAACTAGCTGTATTAAAATTATTTATAAATAATTACCCTTATGGAATCTACAATTACGCACCCCATCCTTGTCTCGCATCACTTTCCCTTTTGTCATTATAATAAAAACTTTATATTGCCTAAGCATGGCATCATCTACCCTTCACTTAGGTAATGAAAGGACAAAGCCCCAAGGCCCAAGGGAGGAAGAAATTGGAGTGACCACCAAAACTCTCTCTAAGAGCTCCCTTCTCTCTCCCCATTCTCTCTCACCTCCCCCTTCTAAACCTTCAACAAGGGAGTCAATGTTGAAATTGCACACTACCATCCTCTCTCTCTCATACTCTCTCTCTCTAAGTTTGCCTGGACTTCCACCTCACTTAGCCCACTATGGATCTCTACTCTATTACAAGTAATGCATCATATATATATATATATATAAAGAACCTCACACCATACAAATAGAGGGTAATGCTAAAAGGAAGGGGAAGGGAAAGACCAACGTTAACGAGGATAGAGTTAGTAAGTACTGACAAGGTAACATGTGGTTTGGCTAAATCTATGGCCTTAGATAGAGTGGGAAAAAAATTTTAAAATAGGATTCAAGTAACCAACCTCAAGTAATTGAAAAAAAAAAAAAAAAAAAAAATGTTTTGTTGATGTTGTTATTTCTATAGAATAACCATAAACTCTATAAAGATTAAAGATATAAAGCTTGTACTTATAGATGTGACTATAACATGAATAGTTTTCTCACAATTTAGTTACATTACCGTAGAAAATAATTGCCACAATACTCATGAAAGATACACTTTACGCATACCATTTCCTACCCACACAAAGGCATTATGTGAAACCCTAAAAGTAACAAATATTTGTTTTGCTCATCATTGGGTAGCATAACCTCCATATAATTCTAGTTTGTAAAATCAAATGAAGCTACCATACTATGAATCTCCACACTTCTACCTAGACTTGTTGCCAAAGAGAAAAACCCATTTCCATCAACATCACCAACAATTGTCCATAACAAAACAACAATGACCAAACAAAACCACATTGACAAAAGTGAACAAGGAGGAAAGCCACATAGATATTGGAATGAAAGCTTTATCGGCTTTTCCATGGAATTAACACTGACCTAAATATCTAAACTAGAAGGTGAAGCTTTATTGGCTTTTTCCGTGTAACCAACATGCATATCCAAGCCTCCCCTTGACCTAATATCTACGCTTGAAGGTAAAAAGCAGCTCAACTTTTTAGACTATGAGCAGACCTAAATTCACGTCCAAGAAGTAAGTATTGCACATGAAACAAGGAGTAATTAAACGGACGAATAAGCCACATATCATAGAAGTGTGAATTTGTGTGTATGAGCACCAGAGGGAAACACTAAAAAACAAAACCAACCCAAGAGGCCACTTCTATTTCTAAACTGAACCATCCCAAACACTAGCCTTAAACACTGTAATTCCTAGGCTATGGAACATGAAAAAGGGATTCAAGAACAAATTATTAAATGGTGAATTATCTTGGACATCATTAGTCTTATTGGATGTCCTCACCAGATAGACAACAACTTCACTTTTAGACAATTAAAAAGAGTTAAAGATCAATAACCGGAAGAGTAAAGGAAAGATATCTGCATAGTTAGTCCACCTATAATTCAATCATAAACAAATGATATTTGTTTGGTCATGTAATTGACCTGCTCACTAAACAGATCCTAGCTGCAAAATTCAGCACTCAACAAAGCCTTTAAATCTCTTAAAGACATTGATTCTCACAAAGTCACCATAACTGATGCATATAAATTAAAAATCAAAAGTCACTTGATCCCCATGAATCTACTTCATCACCATACAAATGTTAGGCGAAAGATGTATCAAACAATCCCGTATAAGTATTCCGTAGATTAGTTCAAAATGGGAACAAACAAGGAAAACACAACATAAATTATCAATTTTACCTCTTATTTCTAGCAGCCTCCCTCCTTCTCCCTCATGCCAAATGTAGCCTTCTCTTTTCATTGTCGCTGTAGGGTGAAACTAAACTCTCAAAATACCAGTGCAATTTGGTCTTAGCCACATGCAACTCATCCTCAATGATGGAAAAAGGAGATAGAACAAACGAATTACCGTTCCGGTAGTAGGTAACAAGATGACTCGAGGAATTCTGCAATAAAATACCACCATTCTTCTTATAACACAGGGGCGATAAGACATATTCAGAATCTGGTTTTTCCGCAGGAGAAAAATGGAGTAATGCAGTCCAAGATTCCCTCACACCATATTCCTCCATTGTCCACACAGTACCAAAACCATACCTGCTCATAACAAGATTTCCGCCCAAAATTCCTAGAGTAAACAAACACCCCTCCTCCCCATCATTGGGCTGTAGCACCACCTTAAATTTCTCCTCAGCTAGATTAAAGGAAACAATATGACAACTCAAATTTTGGCCTTTCCGCGACGCCTCCCAATGAATTGCTCCATTTGCAAAAACCCCATTTGGGCATTGAATGTGATGAGGCATAACTTGTTGAATTTGTTTCCAACAATTGCTTCTCAGAGAATATACCTTTATGACTATGGACTCCAAGTAACCATTTCCAATCTCTTCACAAGACCCTAAGACCACCTTGTAGTCATCAGAAAACGAGTCGTAACCGAACCCATAATATTGCCACTTGAAAACATGATCCGGTAATTTCTTGAATTCTCGAGTCAAAGGGTTCAACAGAAAGACGGTCTTAAAGTTAACAAGCATAGATACAAGACCATTACAAGAAGATATCAAGTCAACACGGTCTGAACTGTTCAGTGGAAGAAAATCAAAACCTAACAATGCATGATCGGGATTGCATTCAACGTCAACAGAGGAAAGAAACGATGAACAGGTGCCCGATTGAATCGAGAACGATGAAACATTGATGATGAGTTTCTGAGTGTGTGTTTCGTGTGTGATTGATCGATTGAGTTGCAGTTTAACTAAATGTGGGTTGGAAATTAACTTGTACCAGGTTTAGGATACGCACCTGGATTGACCAAGGGCCTTAACTGGTAGTCTTGAGAGAATGTCCAACACGATGTCTTTGGGAAAGGTCTCCACCCTCAACGGCCTCTGTAAAACTGAAACTGAAGTACCGGAAAATTTAGAAAAAATTACAAACCTAAATAAAAAAAAAAATACAACATGTTGTATTTATTTATTTATTTATTTTATTTTATTTATTTTTTTAAGGCATTATTACATGTAAATGGTATTTGTGACCCATATTATTATTTAATAGAGTCAAAGTTGCATAATTTTTTTAAGAAAATAAAATTGACCAAAATATTAACGTGGACATGAAAAAATAGGGTACCCTTATTGAGGTACCACTTTTAGGAACATAGGTATCACTTTTTGTGCACAGAAGTACCACTTTTATTTTGGACACAGAAATGCCACTTTTATTCACATATGTACCACTTTCTGCGAATCAGATACCACTTTTTTGTACAACACAAAAAGTGGTACCTAATGACAAAAAGTGGTAGTTGAATGCACAAAAAGTGGTACCTATGTGTCTAAAAGTAGTGTCTCAGTGAGGGTAAACAGTGTTTTTTCTTGTCTTCATTTTTTTGAAACTATGAGACTTTGACTCCATCAAATGATAAATATGGGTCATTACCACTATTTTTTTTTTTTTAATTTATTTTTCTTATTGAGTAAAGAATGGCTTGAAATTACTCTTAAGATATAAAATTTTAAAAACACTTATATCCATTTCGATAATGCCCTTATACACACACACACACACACACACACACACATTAAACTGATGCCGGACATATCAAGTCGTCATCCAAAATTTGCCCCAAAATTGAATGTTATGAACTTATTAAAATGTATAAGGATATATATATACTAAACAGACGCTGAACATATCAAGTCGTCGCCCAAAATTTGCTCCAAAATTGAATGTTATGAACTTATTAAAACGTATAAGGAGTTATATACTATCAATAAGCTAATAAGATTTGAAGATATAAAACTTATAAAAAAATAAAAATAAAAATTTAAAGATATAAATATTAAAACAACCCCAAAATGTATTTATCCATATACCTTGAGAAGAAAAAAAAAATTAATATTTATCCCAAAATGGGCCATATGTACATACACTTATAAAAGATGATAAAAAGCTTTAAATGCCTTTACCTTTGGCTATGTTGCCTTCACCTTTGGTGCCCCAATTTTTTGAGTCACCCCACCGAACACCTTTTATGCCCATTAGGGTTTTGAGTCCATTTGATCTGTACCATGATTAAGAGTTGAGGGGTCGAGTCCCATACATTTTTTTATTCTTCAACGGCGCCCCCTTCAAAAATATTTCTGGGTCCGTCACTGATTGTGGAATAGTTCGTGTTTGAAGAAGCAATAATAATAGTTTTCATAAATACCCCATCAAGTCACAATTTCGAATATTGGGTAAGAGAACAAATTTTAGTAAGATAGTTTTGGATAGTATATGATACAGTTCATTCAAAATATATACAATGCTGTTGTTGTAGAGCTGGTTACAACACTCTCGATTTGTAACTTGAAGTGAATTCAAAGGCCCTGCCCAGAAGAGTTTCAAGTTCAATATATATACACACACACACACATGTTTAATTTTTTTTTTTTTTTTCATAATACTTTATTAAGCATTTTGGGTATTGGTGTGTCTCGAACCAAAGCATGCAAAAGTGTGTAGTGCAGCCAAGTTTAAATTTAGAAAATGCCACTACCACTTTCAACTAAAAATATAGCTAGAGTGAGTAGGGATCGTTTTAAGGGATTGGATGCGTATTTGTGTTGGAAACTGATGTCGGATTGATTGGTTATTGATTAAAGATTGATTGGTTATTGATTAATTAAACTACAATGCAATTAAAGATTAATACAAGTAAAAAGAACAATCTAGAAAGTAGGGAAAAGATATAAGAGAGAGGTCTTAGGGCTAAGAGTCACCACTAAGCTTCGCTTCATCAAATACTAGCAATTGTGCATTAATGGGAAAATTTAAATTGTAATTTGTGTGTGTGTGACATCAATTGAGACTAAGCGTAGATGGCAAATAAGTATAAATTGTCTAGCCAATTTTAATGAATAGCACAACCTAACAAATGAGACCAATACCCATTCAATTAAATCACAATTAATGCACACACAAATATCTAGAGATATGCACTCTTTGCATTCATAAGTATTGAACATCAAGAAACAAGAATGGATTGTTCACCTACCTAAGAAATTAAAGCAATTACACTACAATTAGGCTAGAGACAAGAAATTAAACTAATTAAACAAAAGATGTGATACAATCCATCGAAAAACAAGTGTGAACCATCAAATAAATCACAAAAGTGTTCCATTAATCACCATGCCTTGACTATCACTAGATCAACATCATCAACACACAGACATCTATCAACTTCATTAAATCTAGAGATAAAAACATGAACATCAATTCTAGCATACATAAACATATGACTAGAGCCAAATGATCAATTGAATGCATTAATCCACACACATCAAGTAGAAACCACAAGATATATATTTATTTAAGGTGATCAAAACATCTATTACAACTAAAATCCCCAAAAATACCCAAAAGTTAGGTTTGAGAAACAAGCCTAGGGGCTACCTCTAGCCTCAAGAGAAGGATTTAGCCATTCATTGTAATTGACATTGAACCCTCAAGGGCTAGCTTAGAGGTTGGCATCATCATCTTCATCCTTGCTTTCTTCTCCAAAAACCTAGTTCTAGAGAGAAAAATTATCTATTCTATATTTGGTAATATTCTATCTACTACAATGATGTTCAATAAATCAATTACACACTCCTTTGAGTAAGGACTAAGTCAGAATAATAGTCTCTGATTAGAGGAAATTCGGAGCTATGTACGGTAGGTAGAAATCGGCGTGCTCGGGAATTAGACAACTCACTACCAGCATCATTTTCGATCGATCAAAGAATTTCGATCAATCAAACACTTGGCTTCGATTGATTAAAGCTGACGTGGCTTGAAAATATCTTCTAGGCTTGATCCAATTGACTGAGCTAGCACTGCCATGTTTCGATCGATTGAAGACCACTTCAATCGATCGGGACTTCCCTTCGATCGATCGAAGTTCCCTGGTGCATTTTTCTTGGCTTTTTTCCAACTTCGCTCCTTAGCTCCAAAAATAGTCTAAATGACTCTTGTTAGCCTATTTGAATATTATTCACCTGAAATAGGCAATAACACAAATAAGTATCTAAGACATGAAAGTAAGATAGATGAATAGACTAAAATACCCTCGCTTAGGTGCTAAAATGTATCACATTTGAGCACTTATCACACCCCCAAACTTAGATATTGCTAGTCCCTAGCAATGAACTACATGGAAAATAAAGAAATAAGCAACTAAGTAACTATGAACTAGAAAACAATAAATGGATAACGCCACTTTTGTAAGGAACACGACTGCGTTTAGCATATGCAACAAGCCTTGTAAACCCTTAGGTTACCCTTAGTGAACGAGTGAAATCTCGTGAGAGTTTCTAGAAATGATACCCACAAACATTAAGCTTTTTCTCATAAGAGAGGTACGAATATACAAAACAAACATTGGGAGAAAATTACCTCAAGTATGCAATTTTTCAATCCTTTCTAAGCAATCTCCCAAAATCTCAACATTAAGCAAGCAAATATGGTCCTCCACACATCAAGAAAATGATCATGCAAATCAAAACAACTATAATCCTTTTTAAGTGAACCATCATCAAATATGTTGCTGTCTAAGCCAATTAAAGAAATGATTACATCCTTACCCTCAAACTAGCACACAAAACTAGTTTCAATCATCAAAACAAAGAGTTGACCTTTTATTAAAGCTTATTCAACTAGGTGCGTTTATTTTTTTCACTCGATTTTTTTTTTATACTATCCTAGAGGATCAAAGAAGGAAGTATGGTGCAGTGTGTTGATCTATTAAGCTTTCTAGCAATCCATGAGGTCAAGCATTAGGTCAATGACTCTCAAACCAGATAACTTTAGGGCATTGGGCATTTAAATACCCCTAAGGACTTACAAACTCAAATTAACTTGGCTAAAAATCAAAATAACCTCTATCTAATCATTTCCCACTTCTCACCTTTTGGGAGAAGTCCTCACTTTTTTATTGCTTTTACAACCTTCTGTTTTTTTTTTTTTTTTTTTTTTTTTTTTTTTCAAGTTCAATTATTAACTTAGAGTTTGGGCCCTCCACCTTTCGGCGTGAGAAATTCAGTGCTTGATGAGGCTAGAATCCTAGCTACTTAATGAAAAGGGATTGTTATCCACTTTCGTCAAGATGTAAGCTTTCAATTCACTTCTAGCTCAATTGGGATATCACCAATTCAATAGTCAACAAAGCATGTACCCCACAAATGAATGCTAGTGTGCGCCTGTGCTAGTATAGAATCCTAGAGTGAATTTCAAACAATCACAAAATTAGGATGATGTGGACCACAAATGCAAGCAAGATACCAATCTTTCAAAAAATTTACTCTTAAATGGCATCCGCAAGGCAAACAAGCAGTATTGGTCTCTCAAGTTAAACAATTTTTAAATTCTAAGTATCATGGTCCTCAAAAGATCAAAATCATAACCTAAGACTCTCAAATCATATCACATGCATAGAAATCAAGTGCAACATGTAAGGTATGCTAATACACCCCCAAAATTAATCTGTGCATTATCCTCAATGTACAAAGAAGCAACAGATAATGGAAAGAGTATACCAAATGGGTGAAGCAAAAGGGAACCGGCAACAAAAGCTTAGCTTTGGAAGAAGCACCCCTAAACTTAGATTCCAGACATCTGTCTGAAAATGCACTACAACAGTTTTGGCTTTTACCAGCGTTCAAAAACGCTTGTAAAAGTCTTAAAAAGCGCTGCTTACCAACACTTCTGAAAAAGCGCTAGTAAATCCAGTGTCGGTACGGCTTTACCACCGTTTTTTCAGAAGCGCTGGTGATTACCTATTTATTTATTTATTTTTCGTATTTTTTTTTTATTTTTGATTTATTTTTGTTTTGTTTTTGGTTTTTTTCTTTCCCTAAAGGAACCCAGTTATAAAACATGTTTATATATAAAAACAATTATCATCCAGATGTATACTAATGGATTTAGGCAACTACAAGTTAATTTGCAAATATGAAAATACCATCCAAATTGCATGTCTACTAATAGATAATACTGTACTGAACACCAAGTTTTTACAAAGGAAGTATACACAATGAAAATAATTTTTCACAAAAGTAGTGAACACAACCACAAGTTTCCTCAAAAGAACCCATCAAAATGTATTAGAAGTTTTCACATCGGTTAAGGAAATTCAGAAAGCACAACCATGACCCCATCTTCAAACTTTCTTTTTTCTAGCTTCAACTTCAAACTCTTTAAAACACTTCTTTAAGTTGCCTCTGAAAATGTAGTTTGCATGGAGAAACTATTCAAAGTGAACCATTGCAACTTACATCATCAGCAGCTTTTCCTAGTGCTCTTACTTGCTCCCTTGAAACTGTCCTCACCTACAAATGCAAAATGGTAGGTTAGTAGGTTATAAAAAGCTATAATTTACTAATCAACTCATAAGTCATGATTCTATCTTAGTGCATAAGCTTCTAACAAATTCATTGACAAACATCACAAAATTTTCCATCTTTGTAAATTTGAATACCATATTATTAAGAGGGGAAAAAAAAAAGAAAAAAAAAAAGGGAAATGGGCCCTAAGAAGACAAAGCTCTGCAATAGTTATTATTATTATTATTGTTATTATTATTATTATTATTTCCATTGCATGGTCACAAGAAACAAAGATTCTTTTTACAGTTAAAATTAATTGGAGAAGACAAAGCTCTACAATAAATATTTTTGTTACTATCTGATCTATTCACAGAAGACCAGAAGGCATAGATTCTTTACACCATTTAAATTAACTGGACATGTTGGATGACCAATATTCCTTGTAAGTTGTTATTTCCCTCTTAAATGAACAAAGGAAGAATCCAAATCTATTACTGACAAACACCATATATATATTATATCCATTACCCTCTATTTTATATCCAAGAACAAATCAATGTTTCCAAAAACAGATCAATTTAGTTGAGCAAATTAAGTACCTCAATGGAAGGCATGGTGACGGAGATGTGAAGATCCTTGCCGTTGTTAACGGCTTCCATCATGGTGATGCAATGAAAGCTCTCCAAGTTCAGAGCCAGGTGTGGGATGAATTCACCTGCCACCCACAAGTTTATCAGATTTTATGCGAAACTATTCCACCATTACTATGCACATTCATGACCAGTAACTTTAAGGCAACATTTTTTTTTTCTTTATAGTTTTTTCCTTAATTCTTTGAAGGGAAAATATGAATCAAGATAGAATAAGTAGTATTAAGTTGTTAATAGAAATTAACTTGATGGAAATATGAACATAAAGACAAATAGTGCTTTCATTCACTTACATGTTGTGCATGAACAAGGAATGGTAGGCCAGGAGATGTTGATGAAGACACTTTTCAGAAAAGTGATTTCTTCCACTGATAAAAACTTAAACAGATAACATGTAAAACCAAGACTATCCCCTGCCAATAAGTATGCATAATTTTGTATTAATAATCTATTAAGGTCATATATTTTGGCTTGGAGAGGGAAAAAAGGTAATGAAATTAAGCTAGCTGGGATTCAAAATAGAAATGGAAGAGGCAAATTATTGATGATGTCATTTGTGGAAAATGAAATAAAATTTGTAGCTGTTGAAATAGTTTACTCAATTAACTGCAAAAAAAAAAAAAAAAAGTTCAATATGATTTATATTACATGAACAGAAGGTGAACAAATTAAATATTAATAGCTCCTATCTGTACAGCATTAAGGAATAAGGATAATAAGATAGAGTCAAATCAAAAATTTAATGGAATATGTGTTTTAACTAAGAGTCATAACACTGGAGAAATAGAAAAACACATGAAAGACAGAATTAATGCATGTTGTCTCAATCAACAATCCTAACATGAAATAATTTTCCTATGTACAAGAATAGTCACTACTCTATCTTAATTACTATCTGGAATGCAAGGAAGGAAGACTTACAAAAATATAGACAACAAACTTCCCAAGAGTAGAAAGTAGCCCCCACAAGCACCACAAGTTCACACTTCAAAATCCAACTCAAAGCCCCATTCTAGTTTGAAAACAAAAACATCAAAGAAACAAAAATTAAAAGCAGATCTAACTTGAAGTCCGGATGACTAAGCCAGTCAACTTCTCTTGCAGCTTAGATAGATCGATACTCCTTCCATCATTCACCTATGCACAAAATTAGGAATAACATAGTGTTGTTGCAAGAAAACGTGTAATTAGAGAAGGAAAAAAAAAAAAAAAAAAAGCAAAAAAGGTGTAGCAAATCAATCAAAGGTCTAAAATTAGTCACATTCAATTTAATGGTCTATCCTTTTTTCAAACAAATGATAGCAGAATACAGTACTAGTGTACCCCATAAGCCACGATACACTTGAAACCTCTAAACACTATAAGAAAAATGCAGATCCCTTTGATCACTAATGGACTTGATCTGCTGTTCAAACCCTCCTAAGTAACCAATGACCTCAATTTGAAACCTTGACCTCCAAAGAAACTGTAACATGAAAGGGGAAAAAAATAAAATTACAACCAAAAAATCTGAAACTTGATAAGAAAATGCTTTTACATATAACAGCAACTGGCAACGAAAGAATCAAAATTTCATTATAAATGTCTCAGGCATATCAGCACAAGAAACAAAACATTTTATCACAATGCATAAGAAACATAACATTTGATACCAAACCATATGGTCATTAATACCATCATTTGAAACACATACAAACTTGAGTCTACCTGCTTCCTCCTGACAAATTCCAAAAAATGACTTTAATCAGTGAACAACTCCATGAAGAAAATTATATAGAACTTGATGATAATTTTCTGAAATAGGAAAATTAAGTGCAAAAGCTTCATCACTTGCTTGCTAGAGAATGTTTTAAGATGTCGTTTACATGCCAAGACTTTAAAACATCTTTTGGGTAGTTAAAAGCAACACCCTGATTTAGTCAAATTGGTTATAAACTAAGAAACTGTATGACAAACACGTGCAAATAGTAGTGGTAGAAGCCAAAGGACAAAATTGATACTGTTTCTGCTCAATTAATATAGGAATTTACCACTAACATGGTCATATAGATACACCCACACATTGTCTCACATCCATGCATTCACTACACAAGAACACCATTGAGATTTAGATGCTTCTAAAAAAGAAAATTGAGCATAAAAACCACAAGGTCAATAAAGAAGAACTGACTGACCACAATGATATCACAATATTCCACAAATTTTGCAAGAATATCCTCAAGATAAAGAATTGTAAATGAACTCTCTGCAAGTTTCTCATTCCCAACTATTTAAGATAAGTCCAACTTTTCCTCCCTTTGTTTGAATAATATATGAAACATGTCTTTAAAGGAATCAAGGAATGAGTAGAGAAAATTAAAACAATAGATCAATACCAAATAGTCAACAACAGAGCTAACCCATGTTCCTTGTACATTAGTTAATCGCTCATCTGTGACATCTCAATTAATCAGCAAAATCTCAGTTTATCCTACACTACTCCACATGAATTAAATCAAACTTTCCAACTTCACGACCAATCACAGTTTCACAATTACAGTTCCATAGCCACAGTTTACAGCCTCATTGGAAATTTGAAATACAAACTATATATGCATATCAAAACAGAGTTTTCAAATTTTCAACATACACAACACATATGCGTCATCAAGGTTATAGCCTCCACAAAAATTTAAAACTCAAAACATAGAAATATATATCAAAACATAGAGCATGCTTCACAAAAATTTATTATAACAACACAGATAAATTTGGAACTTCAAATCTCCAAAGTTAGGGACACAGCCCTTCACAAAATTTTCAGAAATAATTTTCAAACACAGCCCATCATTACTAACCATCCTCTTTTTTCAACATCACAGAATATATATCAAAGTATTCTTAAAATCGCAGTCCCAATGATCAAATACAGGTTCATAGTGATTTCTTAAATTTTTCAGTCTTCATTATCACAGTTTCATGCTTCACAATATTTGTAACATGACAAAACATATATAAAATCTCACATAACTAAAATCCTGAATTCCTATTTCAAAATAAAATTCCAAAAATCTCCAAAACAGTTTAATTAACCCTTTGTTCAGAAATTTTCAAACATGAACTCATATATATATTTATATGAATGACAGGGGAAAGATGCTTACCCGAAAGATAAAGAGAAGAGCAAAGGAATGAAGAGAAAAATTCGAGAGAGAGACCAACCTGAGAACGATGAGATGATGGCCTGAGATTCATCGAAGAAGATGACCGAAAATTGCAGTGGTGGATGGCGGCGAGATGAGAATGTTATCTCCTTGGCCGAGGGTCAGCCGAAGAGCGAGAGGCTAAGGTTTGGCCAGGGATCTCGCCGAAAAACCCATAGCAAAGAGCTCGAATAGAGAGAGAGGGGTTGGCTTCAGTGGTGGTGTGAGGATATGGGGTGGAGTGATGGTGATGGCTGTGGCGCAATAGGTTTTGAACTTTTGATTCTGGCAGACTGACAAAATAAACTAAAATATATGGGTTTTAAACTTCTGATTCTTGTAGATTTTCTAGTTAGTAGTTGCAGAGAGATTGTGATACCCCTCGGATCCGAGACACGGGTTGATCAGGCCCAGGCCCGAGCCCGAGGGAATATCAAACAATTAATATGTAACCGAACACAGAATACAAGATGAAATACGAAATAAAAATAATAATAAGCTGAAAGAATCTAGAAATACAATCCTTCATAATTAAATACTTAAAAACTGATAATTCAAAACTCCATAAGTTTACAACTCGGGAATCCATCCATTGGACCCCTCATTTAAATTCTCCAAACGATACTGAAATAATAAAAATAAAATCCAAAGCTAACATAGAGAAAACTCCTACATAATCGGAGGAATGAATAGCTGTATCTGCTCTGCACGTCCAAACTCTAACCCTGGAACTGACGAGCACCTGAAAAATAAGGAAGTGGGTCAGGCCCACATGCAAGTCCTGATTTACTACAATCCAAACAGTAATCCGATACGCAGATACATCATAGGAAAACTCAACAATAACTAGAGTAGTCCATATAAGTATATAGTACACACTATAGGACGCTCGCTAGTCCAGTAGGTTTGTCTCAGCCTGAATAGAAGGCAACATGCAAATACGCACCCTAAGGTGGGCATGAGTACCTAGACCTACCAGGGAACAACACCTATGTCCAGTTATCCATCCTAGGCGATATACGCACCCTAACCATGGTCATGAGACTCAAGCTCAAACCACGGCACCATATAATATATATATAAAGTCCGTACTCCTCCTAATACATAATACCATCCATCTGTGTAGTGGTCTGATATATGTATAACAAATCCATCCTGAAACCATAGTGGATCATTCAATTCACAATTGATATGACATATGTTGGTGATGCACTTAATCTTTATGATTAATCCATACCTTAATCCAAATTTAGGTAGGGCTAAGTGTCTGAACTAATCCGTACCTAGTATGACACCGTCCCATACCGGCGCATACCATCCTCCAGTTTCCGTAGTTAATAACACAGTATAATTACTTATTAACCATATTCCAGAATAAACATAAATATAGTTTAGCATGTACACAACCAATATATGCATCCAATATAACATTTAGATATCCCATCATAGTTCTTTGTTATAAATGAAAAGACTGTACATTTAGCTCCTCTAGATAACACAGTTGATGAAAACAGTATCATATACTAATCAACCATACTCCAAAAGTTGCATAATTACAGTTTAACATGTGTATAACTAAATTATGCATCCAATATAAGAATTTGAATTCCAATTACCGTCCACTAATATGGCAAAATAAAACTATACACTCAACTCCTCCGAACAGTGTCATAGTAGATACAATTTATAACAGATTTAATCATCAGTTAATGCCCACTAAGCATGCATATTATTAAACAACCGTATGCTTATAACACAGCTGCAAAATATGATTTATAACTCCAAGACATGCAGAGAAACCAACTTACTAAAACATTGAGTAATTACCAATTTATGTCAAACCTTACCCCGTACAGGTTTATTTTAAAACCTAGGCTAATTCCATCCCAAATTCTTGGATATAAGCTTGCTTCTCAATTCATATATAAGTCTTAAGCAGTGTATTACATCATTCAGTAGCCTTGAAACAGTTTCAGAAACTCAGTCTCAGCTAAACAGTCCATTAAAACTCAGTACGCGCAAAAACAAAAGAGAGAGAAGGCTCTGAAACTTGGAGAGCCTTCTCCATTCAAGGGGAGCCGGCTCCCCACCCTTGGGAGCCGGCTCTAGGCTGTTGAGAGCCGGCTCTCAACCCTAGAGAGCCGGCTCTAGCTTTGTGGGAGGCGGCTCCCTCCTGTTGAGAGCCGTTTCTCACACCCTTAAGAGTCGTTTCCCCTGTATTGCTTGTCTTCTCCGACCCCGGTGGTTTCCAGACCTTTAATACAGTTATATTACATGTATTAAGGTTCCATCCTCATCCCAAATTAATCACAAGGTAGAATTCTACAACTTAGAATTTAATTAAACATCAACTTTTAAAGCAACGATAATAAGGTTCAACACTGAACTGTTAAAACAATTGAAACTGGATTTATTCAATGCTTCAATATTCTGATTAAACATGTTTAAAAGATGTAATTAAAACTTAGTTTAATCCCTGGAGTCTTCCTAAGCATGCACAGAACACAAATTAAAGGGATAGAGAAAGAACAGAGACTTGCCTTAAGTTTCAAAGTTGAAACACTGAATCCACGTCTCTGAGTTTTAGTTTTCCTTGCTCTGCCTTCCTAAGCCCTCTCTGTAAATTACTCACTCTCTGTTTCTCTACCCGCACAACCCTCTATATCACTGTATACGTGACTGTAAATTACTCACTCTCTGTTTTTCTGCCCTAACAACCCTCTG